TAAAGAAGAAACAAGAAGCATAAGAAGGGTTTAGGCCAGAGAAGTGATCTTTCCAAAGCTGGGCAAGGAAAGCTTCTTGATTCTGCAGGATCTTAGACTTGTGGATGATAAATGCATTTTTGTTTGGTTCAATTCTGACTTTTGCTTTCAGCATGTGATGATTTTTAACCAAAAATATGTCAGAAACTGAGCTGTACTTTTGCTATCCTGCACAGGCTCCCCCCAGATCCTCTCTACAGCATCACTCTGAGCTCTCAGTAGTGCTGTTTTAGGCATAGAAACATTTGGTGTGTGCAGGTGCTGACAAAAACAGTGGGGAAGTCACAGGCTAGGCTCCAACAACTTGAAAGCTCTATTTTACAGTGATCACAGTGACCTTCCATGGGTGAGAGAGAGGAGGTTTGAACCTCTTCAAAACATCCACTCCACCTGCAGTTTCCCAAAGAGGAAGATCTTCCCTGGGAGACTCCCACAGGGTGAAACACTCTCACTGCAGCTGAGGGCAGAGGTTGTGTTTAAACAGGAGGGTGAGGAGCAGGCTCACTCAGCCATCCCATGTGCATGAAAAGCAGCTCCAGAGCTCCTTGTCTGATTTTTCAGCAGCTCACAGGGCCATGGAGTTGCTGGATGTGTTTTTGTGACCCCCCTCACCCAGAGCATGAGCCCACTGCTCATTTGGCAGAGAGAGCAAGTGACCAAGGCATCTGGTGGATCTTCAGGGTGAGCTTTGAGAGCAAAGCCCTTGGACACACACACACACACACAAAGGTGGTGCCTGCCAGCAAAAACCTTGGATTTTTTTCAGTATGGGAAGATACATCTCAGGATTGGCTCATTCCCACAACCTCAGCACAAACTCAGAGCAACACAGGGGAGTACTCTGAAAAGAATGGGCTTTGCATTTTGGGCACCTCTCCAAGCCCATGTGAAGGATTCCCTGGGGAATGTACTCCTGGCTCCATCCATACTGACTGCACAGTCACTCCTGGCATTGCCACAGCTTGCTTTGTCCAAGTGTGGGTGGCTGTGGCTTTTGTGTCCCAAAGGGGACAGTCCTCCACTTCATAGCTGTGTTTTCTTCACTGAGTGGATTATTTGCTTCACTCCTGAGGTGAAAACCAGTGTGCATAGAAAACAGGCAAAATTGGTTTGGGGAATAAAATCAGGGAATGATGGGGTGGAAAACTGGCAAAAATAGGCAGAAAACTGGCCTGGCAGTATCAATGTAATTCTTAGGGCTAAGAACCAGCAGGTGACAAACAGGTGCCGTTTTTCTGGGACAAAAGGATCCGTGCCACTTCAAATAGCATAAAAAACTTGCCTGTGGCTGGGTCTCCATGGGCTGTGCCTCTCTCCCTTGAAGCCATCCATGCGGGAGTCTGACAGCACCAAGGGCAGTCCCAGGTGTCCCTGTGCCTCGTGTCACTGTCCTTGGCGGGCCAGCTGTCCCCTTTGTGGCCTGGCATGTGGCACGGGGGGCTCAGAGCCCGGCAGGGCCGCGCAGCCGGAGCAGCAGGGCTCCCACCGCCCCGTCCCGCAACGCTTTGTCCTTGGCTGCCGCTCTCGGTGCGCGGACAAAGACCTACGAGCCAACAGGAATCATCCTTTGGAGTCTGCAATGACAGCATGGAGAAACACTGATGGGATCATTTAATAAAATCCACACTGTTTCCTTGGGGAAGCTGAATAAACAGCGCTATCAGGAGCTGCCCCAGCCAGCCCTTGAAGGCCAGCAGTGCGTGCTGCTGGGATCGTGCTCCTTGCACGCGGAGGGAGGCAGGGAGCTGGATCCAAGGGCTCATTAATCAAACGGGAGTTTGGCTCTGCTTTGGCCCACATGGAAGCCAGGATGCTGCACAAACACACCCTTCCCTTTGGCCGTGAGCTGGCCACCTCCTCAGGCCAGCTGCAGGTGAGGGATGCACAGAGGAATGTGTGACGCCTCTTGTTTGCATTTCCCCTCACATCCAGGGAAGAGCCCGGGTCCCTCTGTGGCTGGTCCTGGCTGAGAATCCCCCTTGCTGCTCTTTCTGTGGAGAGCAGCTCAGTTAATCCGTGCCAGCTTCTTCTCCTCCTGCCCACTGTTGTCTGGGGACTGCCAACCCCCCGTCCCTGCTTGACACGTTTGGAGTAAGGCTGGGTGTGGACGTGTTCATGGAATCACAGAATCCCCAAATGGTTCAGGCTGGAAAGGATCTTAAAGCTCATCCAGTCCCACCCCCTGCCACAGGACACCTTCCAGCATCCCAGATTGCTCCAAGCCCATCCAGCCTGGCATGGAACATTTCCAGGGATGGGGCAGCCACAACATCCACACCCACAAATATTAATGAATGCTGGACTTGAGCCAGCACCTAAATCCATTCCTCCTTTATTAAGCTGATCCTAAGATGCATTAGGATCCAGGGGAATCAAGGAGTTCTCAATGCCTACCCTTGTATCTCTGTTCTTGGAGTCATGTCACTGAGAATTTCAGTGTTTGTTTAAAAACTTTTCTCAGATAAGGTGTGAAGCCTGAGATCACTTTCAAGACTCAAAATTTTGCTATCAAGAAAATTAGCTTTTAAAAAATGCTGTGCTTTGAGTGAGTGTCACAGTTTCAGAGAGTTTCAGGTGAGGAGTCCACAGCCCCATCAGTGCCAAGCCTTCCCTTCTAAGAACATCTTCCCCCCCTTTTCCTCCTTTCCTAATAACCTCTCATTGACGTTATCATAAAGCAGAGCAATAGGGCTCAGGAGCTCAGTCCCTGGGTAGGGACCGGGTGCCCGAAGCTAGCTCGCTCATGCCAACGCCGCGGGGCTGCCATCCAGCAAGCATGGTGATTATCAGCTCTATAGTGATTGCAAGCTCTTAGGATTTCAGCTTTGCTTGCTAGGTAGTGGTGCCCCAAGCTTGAGGCTGCAGCAGACAGAGAGAGAGGAGAAGGAGAAGGCGCAGGCTGTTCCAAGGAGATGGCTTTATTTGGGGAGGTCCGTGAAGGGTCTCTGCTCTTCTTCTTTCCCGACTAATGGGGTACAGTATGCTTCTTTTATAGGGTTGGAAAGGATCCAAGCTTGACCAATGGTAAGGGGTTAACATGACATTCCCTATAGGGTTACAGAGATAGGTTAAGGGTGGAGGACAGGGAAACAGGAATTTTCTTTTGCTGTTTCAGCATTCCTATTCTCCATGGTGCTTTTCCCAAACTTATGGGGTTTACTACACTGGGGAGAACTGGGACCACACTGGGGGCAACTGGGAGTGAGTGGGACCATGCTGGGAGGGACTGGGATCATATGGGGAGGGACTGGGACTAGAGCAGGAGCAACTGGGTCCAACTGGGACCATCCTGGGAGTGTCTGTAACCATAGGGGAGTGATGGAAGCACACTGGGAACAGCTGGGCCCATGCTGGGAGCAACTGGGATCACACTGGGGGCACTGGCATCAGACTGGGAGTGACTGGGAGCAACTGGGATTAGACTGCAAGGGACTGGGATCATACTGGGAGTGGCTACACTCATACTGGCATTATACTGGCTGTGAATGGAACCCGACTGGGGCTTACTGGGAGCTACTGGGCCCATGTTGGGAGACAACTGGGGACGTAATTAGAGCAACTGGGAGACAACTGGGAGACAACTGGGGCACATGAACAGTGCTGAGGTGACTGGGAGTGCCTGGCAATGACTGCCAGAATATCCAGGGCAACTGGGATATACTGGGAGGGTCTGAGACCATATGGTTGTGGGACTGGGAGCAGACTAAGACCAGACTGCGAATGTGCTGGGGGAACTGGGAACACACTGGGGGCAAGTGGGAATGACTGCGGCCCTGCTGAGAGAGACTGGGATCATACTGGGAGTGCCTAGGACTATGCTAGGGACAACTGGTAGAACTGGGAACACACTGGATGAAAGTGGGAGGAACTGGGAGCAACTGGGACCATGCTGGGAGAAAATTGCATCATCATAAGGAAGGACTGGGAGGGACTGACCTCGTCTGGGAGTGACTGGGATCATGCAGGGAGGCAGGGGAAGGGACCAGGATTATACTGGGAGTGCACAGGCCCATACTGGGAGTGACCAGGCTCATAGTGGGAGTGCCCAGGAAACTGGAAGCACATGGGGGATCAACTGGGCTCATACTGGGAGCAGCCACTGCCGGCTTCGGGACCCCCCGATATCCCCCCGAGGGCCATCTGCGGCTCGGCTTTGGAGCCCTGCCAGCTGCAAACATCCCCCCCAAAAAACCCCAAACTCAGGCACCCCCCGGGATATTTGGGCCGCGCTTCCCCTGCCCGGGCACCTGCAAAATGGGGGCCGATGCTCCCGGGGCTGTGGCGCCTCCAGGGAGCGCCTGGGCCACGAGATTCTCCCTCTCCTCTTGTGCTGCGGCCGCTCGGCCTCTTCCTCCCTCCCTCCTCATCCTCCTCCCCCCGTTCCCGAAGGGTGAACCGTGAGGGGAAAGGGGGCGAGGAAAGGGCAGGAACCCTGAGGGGAAAGGGGGCAGGGAAAGGGCGGGAACCGTGAGGGGAAAGGGGCAGGGAAAGGACGGGACCGTGAGGGGAAAGGGGCGGGCTCAGGCCAAGGGCGGCAACTGTGAGGGGACACTGGGAGGCGGCACCCTGCAAACAGAACTGCAACGGACTGAACATGAACGGGAAAGAAAGCAGTAAGTCTGAGAGATTTATTTGCTATCAAATACATCCCACACACCCAGCCCCACACAATCCCTATCCCACCACTCTAATTGAGATCCCACTTCTCCCAATCTCCTCCCAGCCCCATCTCAGCCTGGTGGCTGAGGAATCGAGTTTGGTATGGCAGTGAGTTCTTTTGAGGTGGGTTTGAGCCATTTAGGGGTAAGATTGAGCTGTTTTCACTGGGATTTGAGTGGTTTTGAGGGGACAGATCCATCCCTCTTGGCTTTTGGAGTGCAAAGAGATGGAGAATAGAAAAAATTAACATGAAATTAAAAGTAGAAGCAGCCAGGTGTGTTCCCAATATGGATCACAGGGAATGTGAGTGACCAGGGCTGTGCCCAAAGTGCCTCCTCCAGTGGGGGATGGAGCTGCAGCAGTGCACAAAGCTCTTCCCGCACTTGGGGCACTCGCAGGGCTTCCCTTACCGGTGCCTCCGTTGGTGTTGGGTCAAGTGAGAGCTGATGGAGAAGCTCTTCCCACACTGGGGACACTCATAGGGTCTCTCCCCAGTGTGGATGCGCTGGTGAATGATGAGGTGGGAGTTGTGCTTGAATCTCTTCCCACAGTCTGGGCAGCGGAAGGGCCTCTCCTCTGTGTGAATCCGATAGTGCAGGAGGAGATTGGAGCTGTTCAGAAACCTCTTCCTGCATTTATCACACTCGTAGGGCCTCTCCCCTGTGTGGATGTGCCGGTGGGTCAAGAGGTGGGAGTTGTGCTTGAATCCCTTCCCACAGTCGGGGCATTGGAAGGGCCTCTCCTCTGTGTGACTCTGATAGTGCAGGAGAAGATAGGAGCTGGTCTGAAAGCTCTTCCCACACTCGGAACACTCGTAGGGCCTCTCCCCTGTGTGGCTCCTCTGGTGCTTGATCAGGCTGGAGCAATGGCTGAAGGTCTTCCCACACTCCCCACACTCGCAGGGCTTTTCCCCAGTGTGGGTCCTCTGGTGCTTGATCAGCTCGGAGTTCCACCTGAAGCTCTTCCCACACTCCACACACGATGGGGCTTCTCCCCATCATGGAGCACCAGCTCTGAGCTCTGGCTCCATCTCCGGCCGCCTTCCCGGCCCAGGCTGCCTCTTTCCCCCTCACATCCCCGCCATCTGCGTTTGCAGCCCCTCCTCGTGCGGCATCTCGGGGGCTTTTCCTCCCCGTTGGCTTCCTGCGCCGTGGAGCCGCTCAAAACAGCCTCTGCCACCAGGTTCTGCTGTGGGCATTTGTCCTCCCTGCTCTCCATGCTCAGCTCCTGATCTGGGCGAGGAAGGACAAGGACAGGATGGGATTTGCCTCCGTGCCACAGGCAAGGGCAACGAGATCCCCCCAGGCCGTCTCTGGGGACGCACTGCCCCCTCTTGGCTCTCCCCATTTCGGGATGCCGGGGCTGTTTGGGCTCCCGGGCTCCCTTCTCCCCTCATTCTCTGCTCTGCGCTGCAGCGGCTCCAAGGAGTCCCCCCTGCCCCTCTTCCGAGGCTCTTGAGGCTCCCGCCAATGGCGGCGCTCCCCCCTCTCTGGCCTCCCCACTTTGGCCTCCTGGGGCACACAGGGCTCTGCTCCTCCAGGCTGCCTCTGCCGGCAGCCGCCACCCGCCACCCCCCGATGTCCCCCCGAGGGGCCTTTTCCGCTCAGCCTTGGACTTCTTCATTCTCCAAACATCCCCCCAAAAACCCAACTGGGAGCGACTGGGAGTGACTGGAACATGCAGGAGGGAACTGGGCTATGCTGGGAGATGCTGGGAGTGACTGGAACAAAAGTGAGGGTGAAAGAGCAACTGGAACCATGTGGAGCACAACTGGTTCATACTGGCAGGGACTGGGAGCACACTGGGCTCATCTCTGGATCATACTGGGAGGGAGTGGACTAATACTGGGAGGATCTGAGAGGGACTGGGAGCACACCCTGCACATCATCCCCCATACTGGGCCTGACTGGGAGCAACTGGGAGCACGCTGGCAGCAAATGGCATCATACTGGGACTGACTGGGCTGATCTAGGAAGCAACTGGAACCATGCTGGAGGCAGCTGAGACCATACTGGGAGAGATTGGAAGCAACTGGGATTATACTGGGAGCACCCTGGGAGGGCTGGCATGTGACTGGGATCAAACTGGAGCTTACTGGGATCATATTGGGGTTGAAAGGGAGGGACTGGGATCACAGTTTGGGCTACTGGGAGCAGCTGAGGGAAACTGGGATGATGCTGCCAGCAAACTGGAGGAACTGGGAAGGACTGGATGCCTGCTGGGGGCAACTGGGATATACTGGGCATGACTGGGGGATCATACTGGGATAACTGACACCTTACTGGGGCCACTGGCAGTGCCTGGAAATGACTGCAGACATGCTGGGGGCAACTGGGATATACTGGGAGTGTCTGGAACCATACTGAGGGGACTGGAACCACTCTGGGAACAGCTGGGACCATGCTGGGGAGAACTGGGACCACACTGGGGGCAACTGGGAGTGAGTGGGACCAAGCTGGGAGGGACTGGGATCATCTGGGGAGGGACTGGGACTAGAGCAGGGGCAACTGGGTCCAACTGGGACCATCCTGGGAGTGTCTGTAACCATAGGGGAGTGATGGAAGCACACTGGGAACAGCTGGGCCCATGCTGGGAGCAACTGGGATCACACTGGGGGCACTGGCATCAGACTGGGAGTAACTGGGAGCAACTGGGATTAGACTGCAAGGGACTGGGATCATACTGGGAGTGGCTACACTCATACTGGCATTATACTGGCTGTGAATGGAACCCGACTGGGGGTTACTGGGAGCTACTGGGCCCATGTTGGGAGGAAAATGTGACCCACTGGGAGCAACTGGGATCGGCTGGAAGGTGCTGGAACCATGCTGAGAGGACTGAGACTACAACTGGGGCAACTGGGATCATCCTGGGAGCAACTGGGGCCACCCTTTGAGCAACAGATAGAAACTGGGATGCTGCTAGAGGAAACTGGGAGGAACTGGGAAAGACTGGGATCATTCTGAGGTAACTCAAACATACTGGGAGTGTCTCTAACCATCCTGGGGGCACTGGAACCACACTGGGAACAGCTGGGATCATGCTGGGAGCAACTGGGACGATGCTGGGGGAAACTGAATCTACCCTGGAGGCAACTGGGCACGACTGGGACCCTGCTGGGAGGGACTGGGACTATTCTTGGGGCAACTGGGATCATCATGGGAGGAACTGGGAACATCTGGAATTATGCTGGGAGCAACTGGGATCACACTGGGATCCCAGTGAGAGCAGCTGAGTCCATGCTGGGTTACACTGGGATCTCATTGAGAGCGACTGGAATCACACTGGGATTGACGGGAGTGGCTGGTTTTGTGGATTTTGGGGGGTTTGGATTTTGGGGGATTTTCTTGGCATTTTGAGGGGGAGTTTTTCTGGGGGTGTTTGGGGGTTTATTGAAATTTCTTGTGGCTCTTTTTGAATTTGGGGGTTTTACCGGGATTTTGTGGGGATTTTTTGGGATTCTCAGAAATTCCGGGGGTTTTATTGGGATTTTTAGGAGATTTTGGGGCATTTTATTGGAATTGTGGTGGCATTCAGACGGATTCATTGGGGATTTGGGGTTTTTGGGGATTCTTGGTGGGATTGTGGGATTTGGGCAGTTTTGGTGTTGCCAGGATTTCTTTGGATCTTGGGGGAGATTTTGTGTCATTTTTTCTGGTTTTGGGGACATCTTTGGGGGATTTGCGGAGTTTAATCAGGATTTTTGGGGTTATTGAGATTTCAAAGGATTTTGTGGGCTTTTATTGGGATTCTAGGGTGTTCTAATGGGATTTTTGAGATATTTAATTGGGATTTAGTGGGTTTTATTGGGGCTTTCACGGCTTTTAAGGAGATTTTGGTGCCTCTCAGCCCTTCCCCACACCCAGGGAATGCCCCAAAGCCCCCCTAAAATTCCACAAAAACCCCACAAATCCCCAAAAATTACAACAAAACCCTCAAAAACCCCAGAGAATCTCCAAACATCCCAGTGGAACTCACCAAAATTTAAAAAAACTCACAAAATTTTCAATAAATCTCCCCCCAAAAAACCTCCGAACCCCAACAAAACACCCAAAATCCAAAACCCCCCAAATCAACAAAACCCCCCAAAATCACGTAACCATCCCAAAACCAAATAATTCTCCCTAAAAACCCCAATGATTCCCCCTAAACTCCCAACAAAATCCCCCAAAGCCCAAAAAAGCCACCCCCAAATCCCCAAAAACCCTCTCAAAACCCCAAAATCCCCACAAACCCCCCCAGACTCAGTGGGGCTGTTCTGGATCAGGGGGCACCGGCCGGTGGAACAGGAGCCACTTCAGGGGGCCCTGGGAGCTTTTTGGGGAGGGGGCACCATGGGAGACCCCCCAAAACCGGGGGAGGGAACCCCTGCAGTGCCCCCTCCCCCCGAAACCCCCAGACCCCGGTTCAGGGTGGGCCTGGGACCCCCCGGGACGCCCAAATCTCCCCCAGGACCCCTCCAGGAACCCCAAACCCCCCAGAGCCCACCAAGGTTGGCCCAGGACCCCCCTGAGAGCCCCCAGACCCCAATGGGGCCCAGCCCAGGATGTCCCCTGAGACCCCCCCCAGACCCCTCCCAAGACCCCACCCAGGACCCTCCAGACCCCTCCCCAAACCCAACTCAGGCTCCCCCAGCCCGTCCCCAGATCCCGCCAGGACCTCTCCCCAAAACCCCTCAAACCCCCCCCACCAGACCCTCTCCCAAAACCCTTCCAGACCCCCCAAAGCCCCTCCCCAAACCTCCAAAACCCTCCCAGGACACCCTCAGGACCCCCCAGAGCCCTCCCCAAATTCCCCCAGGCCCATCCCAACACCCCCAGACCCTCCCAAGACCTTCCTACGACCCCTCCCCAAAACCCCCCCAGACCCTCCCACGACCCCCCCCCGCCCTCCCGAGACCCCTCTTAGAACCAATCCGCACCCCCCAGGTCCCCCCACAATGCCCCAGGACCCCTCCCCAGACCCCCCCAAACCCCCGGACCCCTCCCCAAAGCCTCCCCAGACCCCCCGGACCCTCCCCCGCCCCCCCCCGATCCCCTCTCAGGCCCCTCCCGCTCCTGTCCCGAGCCCGGGGGGTCCCGGCGGCGGCGGGGAAGGGGGCGCCGCTTCCAGCTCGCCTCTGATTGGCTGGGACGGGCGTGGTGCCTCTCAGCCCTCCCTGCCTGGAGGCGGGCCTTGGTGAGGGCAGCCGCTCCGTGATTGGTTAGTTCAGGGATGTGCAGCGCGCTGATTGGTTGGTTTGGGGCGGGGCGCGCCTCTCGGTGGAGGCGCGAGATTGTGAGGGGAGAGCGGAGCTGAGGTGGGGCCGGGGGCAAACTGGGGGGGTTTGGGGCGGGTCTGAAGCGAATTTGGAGAGGTCTGAGGGGAAACTGGGGATTTTTAGGGGCTCCCCCTAAAAATCTCCCCCAAATCCCCCCAAAATCCTCAGAAATGCCCCGAAAAAATCCCTGAAATCCCCCAAAATTCACCCCTTAAATTCCCAAAATCCCCCAAAATCCAAAAAAATCCCCCCAAAAAATCCCCAAAATCTCCCCAAAAACATCCCTGAGTTCACCCCAAACGCCCCCAAAATCCCCCCCAAATTCGCCCCAAAATCCCCCCCAAATTAAACCCCCCCAAATTCACCCCAAAATACCCCCCAAAAAACCCCAAAATCCTCAGAAATGGCCCTAAAAAATCTCCGAAATCCCCCAAAATTCACCCCTAAAATTCCCAAAAAATCCCCCTAAAAAATCCCCAAAATCTCCCCAAAAACATCCCTGAGTTCACCTCAAACCCCCCAAAATCCCCCCCAAATCTCCCCCCAAAATCCCCCAAATTCACCCAACAATCCCCCCCAAATTTATCCTAAAAAACCCCAAAAGACCCCAAAATCCCCCCCCAAAAAAACCAAAATCCCCCCCCAAATCCCCCAAAATCTCCCCCAAATCCCCCCAAAATCCTCAGAAATGGCCCTAAAGAATCCCTGAAATCCCCCAAAAGTCACCCCTAAAATTCCCCCAATCCCTCAAAATCCCAAAAAATCCCCCTAAAAAATCCCCAAAATCACCCCAAAACCAGCCCTAAAAATCGCCCCCAAATCGTCAAAAATCCCCCTCAAAAAATCCCCCAAAAATCCCCAAATTTCCCCCAAAATTTCCCCCCAAAATCCCTGGAATCTCCCCCAAATCCCCCCCAAAATCTCCCAAAAAAATCCCCAAAATTCCCCCCAAAAAAACCCAAATCCCCCAAATTCACCCCTAAAATACTCAAAATCCACCCCAAAAACGCCCAAACCCCCAAATCCTCCCCAAAATCTCCCCCAAATCCCCCCAAAATCCTCAGAAATGCCCCGAAAAAATCCCCGAAATCCCCCAAAATTCACCCCTTAAATTCCCAAAATCCCCCAAAATCCAAAAAAATCCCCCCAAAAAATTCCCAAAATCTCCCCAAAAACATCCCTGAGTTCACCCCAAACGCCCCCAAAATCCCCCCCAAATTCGCCCCAAAATCCCCCCCAAATTAAACCCCCCCCAAATTCACCCCAAGATGCCCCCCAAAAAACCCCCAAATCCTCAGAAATGGCCCTAAAAAATCCCCGAAATCCCCCAAAATTCACCGCTAAAATTCCCAAAATCCCCCAAAATCTCAAAAATCCCCCTAAATATCCCCAAAATCTCCCCAAAAACATCCCTGAGTTCACCCCAAACCCCTCAAAATCCCCCCAAAATTCTCCCCAAATCCCCCAAATTCACCCCAAATTCCCCCCCCCAATTCACCCCAAACTCCCCCCCAAATTCATCCCAAAATCTTCCCCAAATTTATCCCCCCCAAAAACCCCAAAATCTCCCCCAAAAAACCCAAAAAACCCCAAACCCCCCAAATCCCCAATTCCAGGGGTCTCCCTCTGAAGCCCCCTCCCCAATTCCCCGGGGATTTGGGTCTGGGGGCTCCCGCTTTGGGTCTGGGGTCCCCAATTGAGTCTGGGGGCTCCCAATGTGGGTCTGGGGTCCCAAACGGACTCAGCGACCCCCGATTGGGTCTGGGGTCCCCAGTTGGGGCTCCCGATTTGGGTCTGGGGTCCCCAACTGGGGCTCCCGATGTGGGTCTGGGGGCTCCTGAATTGAGTCTGGGGTCTCGATTTGGGTCTGGGGGCTCCCAATTTGGGGAGGGGTCTCAGACTGAGGGGAGTTCCCAATTTGGGTCTGGGGGCTCCAAAATTTGGGTCTGGGGTCCCGAATGGGGTCGGGGCTCCTGAATTGGGTCTGGGGTCGCGATTTGGGTCTGGGGGCTCCCAATTTGGGTCTGGGGTCTCGATTTGGATCTGGGGGCTCCATTTGGGTCTGGGGTCGCGATTTGGGTCTGGGGTCCCAAACGGACTCAGTGACCCCGAATTGAGTCTGGGGTCGGTCGCGATTTGGGTCGCAATTTGGGGAGGGGTCTCAGTCCCACCAGGAGCTGCGGGATTTGGGTCGGGGGTCCCGAATTGGATCTGGGGGCTCCATTTGGGTCTGGGGGCTCCTGAATTGGGTCTGGGGTCCCGAATTTGGTCTGGGGTCCGGAATTGGGTCTGGGGTCGCGATTTAGGGCTCCCGAATTGAGTCTGGGGGCTCCATTTGGGTCTGGGGTCTCGATTTGAGTCTGGGGGCTTCCAATGTGAGTCTGGGGTCTCGATTTGGGTCTGGGGGTTCCCAATTTAGGGAGGGGTCTCAGGCGCACCAGGAGCTGCGGGATTTGGGTCGGGGGTCCCGATTTGGGTCTGAGGTCGCGATTTGGGTCTGGGGGCTCCTGCATTGGGTCTTGGGTCCCGAATGGGGTTGAGGCTCCTGAATTAGGTCTGGGGTCTCCCATTTCCAGTCGGAATCCCCCCAATTTGGGTCTGGGGTCCCGAATCGGGTCAGGGACCCCGAATTGGGTCTGGGGTCGTGAATTGGGTCTGGGGGCTCCTAAATTTGGGGAGGGGTCTCAGGCCCAGGGGGGGCTCCCGAATTGGATCTGGGGGCTCCATTTGGGTCCCAAAGACCCCTCCCCAAATTAACCCTGCCCTGAGACCCCTCCCCAAATTAACCCCAGAGACCCCTCCCCAAATTTAACCCCTCTGAGACCTCTCCCCAAATTAACCCCTGAGACCCCAAATTAACCCTGAGACTCCTCCCCAAATTTAACCCCTCTGAGACCCCTCCCCAAATTTAACCCCTGAGACCCCAAATTAACCCCTGAGACCCCTCCCCAAATTAACCCTGAGACCCCTCCCCAAATTTAACTCTTGAGACCCCTCCCCAAATTAACCCCTCTGAGACCCCAAATTAAACCCTTTGGAGACCCCTCCCCAAATTTAACCCCTTTGCAGACCCCTCCCCAAAATAAAGAAATGGATTTTTTGGGGGGTTTTTTGGGTGAATTTTTGGGGTTTTTTGGGTTTTTTTGAGGTTTCTTTTGGGGGTTTTGGGGGCTGGAGACCCCTCCCCAAATTAAACACTCCTGAGGACCCCTCGCCAAAATAAAAAATGGGATTTTTAAGGGTTTTTTTGGGTGATTTTTTGGGATTTTTGGGAAGGTTCTGGGGTTTTTTGGGGGGGTTTTGGGGGCTGCACCCCCTGCCGACCCCTCCCCAAATTAAACACCCCTGAAGACCCCTCCACAAAATAAAAAATGGGGGTTTTAGGGATTTTTTTGGTGATTTTTTAGGGATTTTTGGGTGATTTTTAGAGATTTTTTTGGTGATTTTTAGCGATTTTTTGGGTGTTTTTTAGCGATTTTTTGGTGATTTTTTGAGATTTTATTGTGATTTTTGGGGATTTTTTTGGTGATTTTTAGGGATTTTTTGGTGATTTTTAGGGATTTTTTGCGATTTTTAGGGATTTTTGGGTGATTTTTAGGGATTTTTTTGTGATTTTTAGGGATTTTTTTGCGATTTTTAGCGATTTTTGGGGGGGTTTTTTTGGTGATTTTTGGGGAATTTTTTTTGGTGATTTTTAGGGATTTTTTGGCGATTTTTAGGGATTTTTTTGGCGATTTTTAGGGATTTTTTTTTTGTTTTTCCGGGGATTTTTCGGGGAATTTTCTGGGATTTCGGGGAATTTGGGTTTTTTGATGTTTTTTGGGGCGTTCCGGGCGGTTTTGGTGATTTTGGGGAGGGGTCCCCGTCGCTTTCCCCGGGATCCGCCAGGGGGTGCTGTCTCACCAGTGGGCATGGCCTGCGCCAGCCGCTCGGCTCTGATTGGCTGCGACGGGGAAGGGGCGGGGCTGAGGGCGGGGCCTTCAGACCCGGAAGCGGCGCAAGGGCACGCGGGGAGCGCGGGAACGGAGCCGAGCGGGGGACCCCCGGGAGCCCCAAAATCGCCCGAAACCGCCCCAAAATATCCCTGAAACCCCCCCCCCCCCCCGACCCTTCCCTACCCCACCCCGGGGCCCTCCCCTACCCCACCCCGGAATCCCCTCCAAAACGCCCCCCAAAATCCCCCGAAATCCCGCCCGAAATATCCCCAAAACGCACCCGAGACCCCCCTAACCAACCCCGGGAGCCCCAAAATCCTTCGAAACCTCCCCAAATCCCCCGAAACTCCCCCCGAGACCCTCCCCTAACCCACCCCGGGACCTCCCCAAAAAACCCCCAAACTCACCCCAAGAATACCCCGCCCAAAATAATCTCCCCCAAATCCCCCTAAACTCCCTAAAAATAACCCCAAAACTCACCCGAGACCCCCCCCCCAAAATAACACCAAAAATCCCCCCCGAACACCTCCCGGGACCCCCCAAAATAACCCCAAAAATCTCCCCGGGGACCCCTCAAACCATCCCGAAATTCCCCCAGAATTCCCCCAAAAATCCCTCCGGAGCCCTCCTGAGCTCCCCGAAAATCGCCCCGAGACCGCCCCAAAAACAACCCCAAAAATCCCCCTGAGACCCCTCCAAAATAACCCCGAGACCCCCCCAAAATCCCCCCAAAAATCGGCCCCGGGACCCCCCCCCCCAAAATCCCCCCCCAAATCCCCCAAAATCGGCCCCGGGACCCCCCCAAAAATCCTCCTCGGACCCCCCCCAAATCTCCTGAGCCCCTCTTGACCCCCTGAACCCCCAAATCCCCCCAAATTTCTCGTTTCCCCCTCCCCCCCCAATGCTCCTCCTGTCCCGGGGGTCCCCCCGGGCCTTGCACGGCTCGGGGGGGGCCCTGGGGGGGCTCGGCCGGGACCCCCCCAAAAACGGGGACCCCCCCAAAAACGGGGACCCCCCCAAAAGCAGCCGAGACCCCCCCCAAAATCAGGTCAGTGACTTGAGGGGGGTCCCGGCTCTTTTTTGGGGAGGGGTCCCCAAATTTTGGGGGGGAGGGGGGTCCCTGTCCCTTTTTGGGGGGGGGGTCTCGAGATTTGGGGGGGGGGGTCCCCGTCCTTTGTTTTGGGGGCGTTCCCAGTGTTTATGGGGGGGGTCCCCGATATTTTTTGGGGGGGGGGTCTGGGAATTTGGGGAGGGGTCCCAGATTTGCGGGGGGGGGGGGGGGGTCCTGATCTTTTTGGGGGGGTCCCGGCCCTTTTATTGGGGGGGGTCCCGGATTTTGGGGGTCTCGGATTTGGGGGATCCTCGATTTTGGGTGTCCTAGTCTTGGGATGGCCCCGATTTTGGGGTGTCCCGGATTTTGGGGTGTCCCGGATTTTGGGGGTCCCCGATTTTGGGGTGTCCCAGTTTTGGGGTCCCGGATTTTCGGGTGTCCAAGTTTTGGGGCGTTTTAAGGTTCCAAATTTTGGGGGTCCTGGATTTTGGGGTGGCCCCGATTTTGGGGTGCCCGAGATTTTGGGGTGTCCCAGTTTTGGGCTGTCCCGGGGGTCTCTCACTCTGTGCCCCCCCCCAAGGTATCTGGGTGGGGCCGGGGGCGCCCGGTGCCCGTGGGGAGAGCGAGACGGGCGGCGAACATGGCCGGTACTGGGGAAACTGGGAGGGGCTGGGACAAACTGGGAATGGGGCCTGGGATGGACTGGGACAGACTGGGAATGGGGAATGGGATGGACTGGGAATGGGAAATGGGAATGGGGACTGGGATGGACTGGGAATGGGAACTGGGACGGACTGGGAATGGGGACTGGGACAAACTGGGAATGGGGACTGGGAATGGGAAATGGGGGAACTGGGAGCACTGGGACGGACTGGGAATGGGGACTGGGACAAACTGGGAATGGGGACTGGGAATGGGAAATGGGGGAACTGGGAGCACTGGGACGGACTGGGAATGGGGACTGGGACAAACTGGGAATGGGGACTGGGAATGGGAAATGGGGGAACTGGGAGCACTGGGACAGACTGGGAATGGGGACTGGGAATGGGAAATGGGGGAACTGGGAGCACTGGGACAGACTGGGAATGGGAAATGGGACACACTGGGAGGGACTGGGGGGGGCTGAGAGGGGCTGGGAATGGGGACTGGGATGGACTTGGAGGGACTGGGAATGGGAAATGGGAAGGACTGGGACAAACTGGGAATGGACTGGGAAGGACTGGGAATGGGGAATTGGGGAACTGGGATGGACTGGGAGGGACTGGGAATAGAGAATTGGGAGCACTGGGAATGGGAAATGGGGGAACTGGGACAGACTGGGAGCGACTGGGAATGGGGGACTGGGGGGGACTGGGACAAACTGGGACAAACTGGGAATGGGGACTGGGAAGGACTGGGAGGGACTGGGAATGGGAACTGGGGAAACTGGGAGCACTGGGACGGACTGGGAGCAACTGGGAATGGGGAACTGGGAGCACTAGGAATGGGAACTGGGACAGACTGGGAACGGGAAATGGGGAAACTGGGAGGGACTGGGGGGGACTGGGAATGGGAAATGGGGGAACTGGGAGAGACCTGGAGGAACTGGGATGGACTGGGAGCACTGGGAGCAACTGGGAATGGGGAATTGGGGAACTGGGAGCATTGGGACAGACTGGGAATGAGAACTGGGACAGACTGGGAGGGAATGGGAGGGACTGGAAATGGGGAAATGGGAGGGAACTGGGAGGGGTCCGGCTCTGGAATTGGGTCTGGGGGCTTTGGGGTCTCTCAGTTTTTGGGGCGTCTCCCAGGTCTGGCTCTGGATTTGGGTCTGGGGGCTTTGGCTGAGGCCGCCCGGACGCGGCTGCGGGGGCAGGAACGGCGCCAGGGTGAGTGAGGGACCCTGGGACCCCCGGGACCCCAGACCCAATTGGGGCCAATTCCCCAAATCCCCCAGACCCAACTGGGGTCTGAAACCTCAAATCCCCCCAATTCCCCCAGACCCAATTGGGGCCAATCCCCCCCAGATCCCCCCCAAATCCCCCAGACCCAACTGGGGCAAATCCCCCCCCAAAATCCCCCCAGGACCCCAGACCCAATTTGGGGCTGATCCCCCCAAATCCTCCCCAAATCCCCCAGACCCAATTGGAGTCGATCCCCCCCCAAAATCCCCCCGGGACCCCAGAGACCCCCGGGACCCCAGACCCAATTGGGGCTGAAACCCCAGAGACCCCAGACCCAATTGGGGCCGATCCCCCCCCAAAATCCCCCAGACCCAATTGGGGCCAATCCCCCCCAGGATCCCAGACCCAATTGGAGTCGATTCCCCCCCAAAATCCCCCCAAATCCCCCAGACCCAATTGGGGCTGATCCCCCAAATCCCCCCCGGGACCCCAGACCCAATTGGGGCAAATGCCCCCCAAATACTCCCCAAATCCCCCAGACCCAATTGGGGTCTGAACCCCCAAATCCCCCCTGAGACCCCAGACCCAATTTGGGTCTCACCCATCCTAAATCCCCCCCCATCCCCATTTTCGGGGTCCCATCCCCATTTTTGGGTCCCCAATCCCCATTTTTGGGTCCCCAATCCCCATTTTCAGGGTCCCCATCCCCATTTTCATGTCCCCATCCCCATTTTCGGGGGTCCCATCCCCATTTTGTGGTCCCTGTCCCGCAGTTCCCGCCTGGGCTCTCTCTGAGGGCAGCGCTCAGCGTTTGGTGGCCGTGCTCAGCCGGGCCCGGGGGGCGGCGCTCAAGGTGGGGCAGCTGCTCAGCATGGCAGGTGAGAGCCCAAATATCCCAAAAATACCCCAAAAATACCCCAAAAACCACCCCCAAAATACCCCAAACCCCTCAAGGTGGGGCAGCTGCTCAGCATGGCAGATGAGACCCAAAATATCCCTGAAATATCCCAAAAATATCCCCAAAATACCCCAAACATATCCCTAAAATTCCCCAAAAAAAATCCCCAAAATATCCCCCAAAATATCCCTAAAATACCCCAAAAATATCCCTAAACCCCTCAAGGTGGGGCAGCTGCTCAGCATGGCAGGTGAGAGCCCAAAACCCCCAAAATATCCGTAAAAATACCCTAAAAATACCCTAAAAATATCCCTAAAATACCCCCAAAATACCCCTAAAATATCCCAAAAATACCCTAAAATACCCCAAAAAAAACCCAAAACCACCCCAAAAATATCCCAAAAACCCCTAAACCTCCCCAAAATGCCCCAAATCCCTCAAGGTGGGGCAGCTGCTCAGCGGAGCCGGTGAGACCCTAAAAATACCCTAAAAACCACCCCTGAAATACCCCAAAAACCCCCAAAACCATCCCAAAAATATCCCAAAACCACCCCAAAAATACCCCCACAATACCCCAAAAATACCCAAAAACCACCCCAAAAATACCCCAAAACCATCCCAAAAACCACCCCAAAAATACCCCAAAACCATCCCAAAAACCACCCCAAAAATACCCCAAAAAATACCCCAAAACCACCCCAAAATCCCCCAAATCCACCCCAGAAATAGAAACAAAAATGATCCCCAAAAATATCCCAAAAATACCCCAAGAAAATCCCAAAAATCCCCTAAAAACCATCCCCAAACCCATAAAAACCCCCAAAATGCCCCAAAAATCCCCCTAAACCCCCCAGGCTCGGAGCTGCTGCCCCCACAGCTGCAGGGTGGGATTTGGGGTTTCTCATCCCCTAAATCCCCTAAAATCCTATTAAAATCCTATAAAAATCCTATTAAAATCCTATAAAACCCCATAAAACCCTATAAAATCCCTAAATCCCCTAAATCCCCTTTCCCCAGGCTTGGAGCTGCTGCCCCTGCAGGTGCTGGGTGGGATTTGGGGTGGATTTGGGGTGGTTTGGGGTGGGATTTGGGGTCCTCTCATCCCTTTGTCCCCCAAATCCTATAAAATCCCATAAAACCCCATAAAATCCCCTCAATCCCCTCAATCCCCTAATCCCAGACTCAGAGCTGCTGCCCCCACAGCTGCAGGGTGGGGTTTGGGGTGGATTTGGGGTCTCTCATCCCTTTGTCCCCCAAATCCCATAAAACCCCATAAAACCCTATAAAATCCCCTCAATCCCCTCAATCCCCTAATCCCAGACATGGAGCTGCTGCCCCTGCAGGTGCTGGGTGGGATTTGGGGTGGATTTGGGGTGGTTTGGGGTGGGATTTGGGGTGGTTTGGGGTGGATTTGGGGTCTTTTATCTCCTTTTTCTCCCAAATCCTATAAAACCCTATAAAACCCCATAAAACCCTATAAAACCCTATAAAATCCCCTAAATCCCCTCAATCCCCTAAATCCCCTTTCCCCAGACTCAGAGTTGCTGCCCCTGCAGGTGCTGGGTGGGGTTTGGGGTGGATTTAGGGTGGATTTGGGGTCTCTCATCCCTTTTTCCCCCCAAACCCCATAAAACCCTATAAAATCCCCTAAATCCCCTCAATCCCAGACTCGGAGCTGCTGCCCCCGCAGCTGCAGCGGATCCTGGCCCGGCTGAGGCAGAGTGCGGAGCCCATGCCAGGCTGGCAGAGCCGGGTGAGGGACGGGAACTGCAATCCCAAATCCTGAATCCTAAATCCCAAATCCTGAATCCTAAATCCCAAATCCCGAATCCCAAACACCAAATCCCAAAATCCCAAACACCAAATCCCAAAATCCCAAATCCCAAACACCAAACCCCAAATCCCCAAATGCCAAAATCCCAAACCCCAAATCCCAAACACCAAAATCCCAAATCCCAAACACCAAACCCCAAATCCCCAAACACCAAAATCCTAAATCCTAAACACCAAACCCCAAATCCCCAAACACCAAAATCCTAAATCCTAAACACCAAACCCCAAATCCCCAAACACCAAAATCCCAAAATCCCAAACCCCAAACACCAAAATCCCAAACCCCAAAATCCTCAAATCCCAAAACCCCAAATCCCAAACCCCAAAATCCCAAAATCCTAAATCCTAAAAACCCCAAACCCCTAAATCCCAAAACAGCCCAAAATCCTAAAACCCCGTAACCTCAAAATCCCCAAAATCCCAAACCCCAAATCCCAAAATCCCAAACTCCAAACACCAAATCCCAAACACCAAACCCCAAACACCTCCAAATCCCAAAACCCCCAAAAATCCCAAATCCTAAAAACTCCAAACCCTAAAAACCCCAAATCCCAAACCCCCAAAAGGCCAAAATCCCAAACCCCAAAAACCCAAAACCGAAATCCCAAACATCCCAAAACCCCAAATCCTAAAAACCCCAAAATCCCAAATCCGAAACACCTCGAAACCCAAATCCCAAACCCAAAACACTCCAAACCTGCGAAACCCAAACCCCAAAAACCCCAAAACCCCAAATCCCAAACCTCCAAAATCCCAAACCCAAAAACCCCTGAAAACCCCAACCCCCCCAAATCCCAAACCCAAAAATCCCAAACCCCCAAACCCAAAAACCCCCGAAACCCCAAACCCCAAACCACCAAAACCCCAAAATCCCAAATCTCCCAAAACCCCCACACCCCTAAAACCCAAACACCCCAAACCCCAGAAACCCCAAGCCCAAAAATCCCAAAAACCCCAAACCCAAAAATCCAAAACCCCAAACACCCCAAAACCCAATGCCAAACCCCAAAATCCCAAAAACCCCCAAAACCCCAAACCCCAAAAACCCCAAAATCCCAAACCCCAAAACCCCAAGATCCCAAACCCCAAAAACCCAAACCTCAAACACCCGGAAAGCCGAATCCCAAACACAAAATCCCAAAAACCCCAAACCCCAAAAATCCCAAAGATTCAAAAACCCCCAAAACCCCAAACCCAGGCCTGGGGGATTTGGGGAGGATTTTGTGGGGTTTTTTATAGGATTTTAAATAAGATTGTTATAGGATTTTTAATAGGATTGTTATGGGATTTTTATAGGATTTTTTCAAATGATTGTTGTAGGATTGTTATAGGATTTTATAGGATTTTTATAGGTTCTTTTAATAGGATTTTTGTGGAATTTTTAATAGTTTTTTTTATAGGTTTTCTAATAGGATTTTTATGGGATATTTATAAGATTTTTAATAGGATTGTTATGGGATTGTTATGGGATTGTTTTAATAGGATTTTTGTGGGATTTTTATAGGATTTTTTATGAGATTTTTTTGTGGGATTTTTATCGGATTTTTTATGGGATTTTTATAGGATTTTTAATAGCATTTTTAATAGGATTTTTATAGGGTTTTTTTAGTAGGATTTTTATGGGATTTATAGGATTTATATAGGTTTTAAAAATAGGATTTTTATAGGATTTTAATAGGATTTTTTAATTGGATTTTTTATCGGATTTTTATAGGTTTTTTTAATAGGATTTTTATGGGATTTTCACCATATTTTCCCCATATTTTGGCCGTTTTTCCCCGGATTTTTTGGGGATTTTTTTGGGAATTGTGAGAATTCTCGGGAATTCTCCCCCCAGGCCATACTGGACTCGGAGCTGGGCCGGGGCTGGCGGGAGCAGCTCCAGGAGTGCCAGGATTGGGGTTTGGATGGGATTTCTATGGGATTTTTATAGGATTTTTAATAGGATTTTTATGGGATATTTATGGGATTTTAATAGGATTTTTTAATAAGATTTTTTTAATAGGATTTTGATAGGTTTTTTTAATAGGATTTTTATAGGCTTTTTTAATAGGATTTTAATAGGATTGTTATAGTATTTTAAATGGGATTTTATAGGATATTTAAATGGGATTTTTATGGGATTTTTTATAGGATTTTTATCAAATTTTGCCCATATTTTGGCCTTTTTTCTCCAGATTTTTTGGGATTTTTTTGGGAATTCTTTGGGAATTCTTTGGAATTGTTGGGAATTCTCCCCCAGGCCGTGCTGGACTCAGAGCTGGGCCGGGGCTGGCGGGAGCAGCTCCAGGAGTTCCAGGAGCTGGGGTTTTTATAGGATTTTTATAGGATTTTTATGGGATTTTTGGCCTATTTTCCCCATATTTTGGGAATTTTCACCCGGATTTTTTTGGGATTTTTTTTTTGGAATTGTTGGGAATTTTTTGGAATTGTTGGGAATTCTCCCCCCAGGCCATCCTGGATGCAGAACTGGGCCAGGGCTGGCGGGAGCAGCTCCAGGATTTGGGGTTTTTAGAGGATTTTAATGAGATTTTTGGGCTATTTTCCCCATATTTTGGGTATTTTTCCCCGGATTTTTTGGGGATTTTTTTTTGGGAATTTTTTTTGGGAATTGTTGGGAATTCTCCCCCCATGCCGTCCTGGACTCGGAGCTGGGTCGGGAGCAGCTCCAGGAGTTCCAGGATTTGGGGTTTTTATGGGATTTTTATCGAATTTTCGCCATATTTTGGCCATTTTTCTCCGGATTTTTTGGGGAATTCTTTGCAACTGTTGGGAATTCTCCCCCCAGGCCGTCCTGGATGCAGAACTGGGCCGGGGCTGGCGGGAGCAGCTCCAGGAGTTCCAGGAGGTTCCTGTGGCCGCCGCCTCCCTGGGCCAGGTGCACCGGGGGCGGCTCCGCAGCGGCGCCGACGTCGCCATCAAGGTCCAGGTGCCGAATTTGGGGCAAAAAACCCCGAATTTGGGCAATTTCCAGCAAAAATCGAGGGGGTTTGGGGGATTTTTAAAGGAATTTTGGTGGATTTTTGGGGAGTGTTGGGGAATTTTGGGGGATTTTTATTTTTGGGGGGGGAAATTTCGATTTTTGGGGATTTTTTGGGGGGTTTTCTTGGGGGTTTTTGGGGGATTTTTGGGGGTTTTAAAAAGGTTTGGGGGAATTTTGGGGTTTATAGGTGATTTGGGTTTTTTGGGAGGGAATTTGGGGGTTTGGGGGGAATTTGGGTGGAATTTTGGGGATTTGGGGAATTTGGGTGGGAATTTGGGCAAGGATTTGGGGGATTTGGGTGGGAATTTGGGGAATTTGGGTGGGAATTTTGGGAATTCGTGGGGAATTTGGGGGATTTGGGTTGAAATATTTGGGTGGAATTTGGGGGATTTGGTAAAATTTGGGGAATTCGGGAATTTTGGGAATTTGGGTGGGAATTTGGGGGATTTGGGTGGAAATTGGGGAATTTGTGGGGAATTTGGGTGGGAATTTTGGGATTTGGGTGGGAATTTTGGGATTTGGGTGGGAATTTGGGTGGAAATTGGGCAATTTTGGGAATTTTGGGGATTTGGGTGGGAATTTGGGGAATTTTGGGAAATTTGGGGGATTTGGGTGGAAGTTTTGGGAATTTGGGTGGGAATTTTGGGGATTTGGGTGGAAGTTTTGGGAATTTGGGTGGGAATTTTGGGGATTTTCGGGTTCCCCCAGTACCCGGGCGTCGCCCTCAGCATCGGCAGCGACGTCGAAAATCTCCTGACCCTGCTGAGCCTCAGCCCGGGGCTGCCTAAAGGTCTCAAAAACACCCAAAAATCACCCAAAATACCCCAAAAATAGCACAAAATCACCCAAAATACCCCCAAAACCAGCCCCAAATCACCAAAAAATACCCCAAAACCAGCCCCAAATCACCCAAAATACTCCCCAAAACCAGCCCCAAATCACCCAAAATAGCCCCAAATCACCCCCAAATCGATCCAATTTCACCCTAAAATTGCCCCAAATCACCTAAAATCCCCCCTAAAACACCCCAAAATCACCCCCCAAACACTCAAAATTACGTCAAATCACCCCAAAATCACCTCAAAATCACCCAAAGTACCCCTTAAAACACCCCAAATTTACCCAAAATACCCCCCAAAACAGCCCCAAATCACCCAAAACACCTCAAAATCACCCAAATTCACCCAAAATACCCCAAAATCACCCCAAAATACCCCCCTAAAAAGCCCCAAAACCAGCCCAAAATCACCCCTAAAACACCCCAAAATACCCCCTGAAACAGCCCAAAATTCACCCAAAATACCCCAAAAAGATCCGAAAATCACCCCAAATACCCCCTAAAACCCCCCAAAACAGCTCAAATCACCCTGAAATCACTCCAGATTACCTAAAATCACCCCCAAAATACCCAAAATTACCTCATATCACCCCCAAATTCGCCCAAAATCCCCTGAAATCAGCCCCAAAATGCCCCAAATCAACCTAAAATCACCCCAAAATCACCCCAAACCCAGCCAAGATTGCCTCAGATCGCCTGAAATCACCCCAAAATCAACAGAAATTCACCCCAAGTCACCTGAAATCACCCCAAAATCACCTCAAAATCACCCAAAAATCACCCAAACCAAAATCAACCCAAAATCGTCCCAAATCACCCCAAAATCAGCTCAGACCACCCCAAAGCAAACGGAAATCGACCCCAAATCACCTAAAATTGACCCAAATCACCCCAAAATCCCATAAAATCACCCAAAATCAACCCAAAATGACCCAAACTCACCCAAATCCCCCTTTTCCCACCAAATTCCTGCTCTTTCCCCAAAATCCCCTTTTTTATTCCCCCAAATCCCATTCTTTTCCCCCCAAAATCCCAGTTTTTAATTCCCAGAAATCCGCTTTTTTATCCCCAAATTCCCATTATTTATTTTCCAAAAATCCCCTTTTTTATCCCCAAATTCCCATTATTTATTTTCCCCAATTCCCATTATTTATTCCCCAAATTCCCATTATTTATTTTCCCCAAAATCCCCTTATTTAATTCCCAAATTCCCATTATTTAATCCCCCAAAATTCCATTATTTAAACCAAAAATTCCCATTATTTTATCCCCCAAATTCCCATTATTTTATCCCCCAAATTCCCATTATTTAATTCCCCAAATTTCCATTATTTAATTCCCAAATTTCCATTATTTAATTCCCCAAATTTCCCATTATTTATCCCCAAATTTCCATTATTTATTTTCCCCAAAATCCCTTTTTTTTTTCCCAAATTCCCATTATTTATCCCCAAATTCCCATTATTTTTCCCCCAAAATCCCATTATTAATTCCCCCGAATTCCCACTATATTTCCCAAAAATCCCATTACTTTTCCCAAATTCCCATTATTTAAACCCAAAATTCCCATTATTTAATTCCCCAAAAATCCCTTTTTTATTCCCAAAATTCCCATTATTTTCCCCCAAAATCCCTTTTTTCATCTTCCCAAAAATTCCCATTATTTATCCCCAAAATCCCATTATTTAATTCCCAAAATCCCTTTATTTTTTCCCCAAATCCCTTTAATTTTCCTCAAAATCCCAATATTTAATTCCCAAAATCCCATTATTTTGCCCAAAATCCCTTTATTTTTGCCCAAAATCCCACTATACTTCCCCAAAAATCCCTTTTTTTTTATTCCCAAATTCCCTTATTTTCCCCCAAATCCCCATTATTTTTCCCAAATTCCCCATTTTCCCCGCCAAATTCCCATTTTCCCAAATTCCCCTTTTTTCCCAAATTCCCCTTTTTTCTCCCCATTTCCCATTTTTCCCAAATTCCCATTATTTCCCCCAAATCCCCATTTTTCCTTCCCCCCAAAATCCCCATTCTTTTTTCCCAAGTCCCCATTATTTTCCCCCAAATTCCCCCTTTTTTTCCCAAATTCCCGTTATTTCCCCCCAAAGTCCCCATCATTTTTCCCAAATCCCCGTTATTTTTTCCAAAATCCCAGTTTTTCCCAATTTCCCATTATTCTTCCCAAATTCCCCTTTTTCTCCCCATTTCCCATTTTTTCCCAAATTCCCAATTTTTTCCCCCCAAATCCCCATTATTTTGCCCAAATTCCCGGTTTTTTTCCCCCATTTTCCCCAAATTCCCGCTTTTTCTCTCCCCATTTTTTTCCCAAATTCCCCGTTTTTTGCCCCATTTTTTCCCAGGGCTCTTTGCGGCCCCGGCGCTGGCGGGCGCTGCAGCGGGAGCTGGAGCTCGAGTGCGACTACGAGAGGGAGGCCGAGAGCGCCCGAAAATTCCGGTCAGTTCGGGCAAATTTGGGCAAATTTGGGCAAATTTGGGCAAATTCGGGGATTTTTGGGTGTTTAGGGGATTTAGGGGCGGTTTTTGGGGCACTTTTGGGGCAGTTTCGGGGTTTATAGGGGCGGTTTTGGGGCGGTTTTGGGGCAGTTTTTGGGGATTTTAGGACACTTTTAGGGCAGTTTTAGGGGATTTAGGTGCACGTTTAGGGGGTTTAGGGGATTTTGGGGCAGTTTTGGGGCGGTTTTGTGGAGATTCCGGCACAGTTTTGGGGCAGGTTTGGGCTTTTTAGAGGCGGTTTTGGGGCACTTTTGGGGATTTTAGGGGCGGTTTAGGGGCACTCTTAGGGCGGTTTTAGGGCACTTTTTGGGTATTTTAGGGGGATTTTTGGGCAGGTTTAGGGGATTTAGGGGCAGTTTAGGGGATTTTGGGGCAGTTTTAGGGGATTTAGGGGATTTAAGGGAGCTGGAGCTCGAGTGCGACTATGAGAGGGAGGCGCAGAGCGCCCGCACATTCAGGTGAGTTTGGGCAAATTTGGGGCTTTTTGGGGCTTTTTGGGGCTTTTTGGGTGTTTAGGGGATTTAGGGGCTCTTTAGGGGCAGTTTCGGGGTTTTTAGAGCAGGTTTTGGGGCACTTTTGGGGCGGTTTTTGGGGCTTTTTGGGGCCGTTTAAGGGCAGTTTTAGGGGATTTAGGGGCAGTTTAGGGGGATTTAGGAGCAGTTTTGGGGCGATTTTGGGGTTGTTAGGGGTGGTTTCGGGGCAGTTTCAGGGCAGTTTTGGTGTTTTTAGGGGGGATTCTAGGGCAGGTTTAGGGGCGGTTTTAGGGCAGTTTTTGTGGATTTTAGGGGGATTTTTGGGCAGGTTTAGGGGATTTAGGTGCATGTTTAGGGGATTTTGGAGCAATTTCGGGGCAGTTTTGGGGTTTTTAGGGCGCATTTAGGGGCACCTTTGGGGCGGTTTTGGGGCTTTTTGGGGCCGTTTGGGGGCAGTTTTAGGGGATTTAGGGGCAGTTTAGGGGATTTAGGAGCAGTTTTGGGGCGATTTGGGGGTTTTTAGGGGTGGTTTCGGGGCAGTTTTGGGGGTTTTTAGGGTGGATTCTGGGGCAGGTTTGGGGGCGGTTTTAGGGCAGTTTTTTGGGCAGGTTTAGGGGATTTAGGGAATTTCAGGGGATTTAGGGGCAGTTTTGGGGCAGTTTTGGAGCAGTTTAGAGGCAGTTTAGAGGATTTAGTGGCAGTTTCGGGGTGGTTTTTGGGGGATTTGGGGGCAGTTTTGGGGGATTTTAGGACACTTTTAGAGCAGGTTTAGGGGATTTAGGTGCATGTTTAGGGGGTTTAGGGGCGGTTTTTGGGGATTTTAGGAACGGTTTTAAAGGGGATTTGGGGCAGGTTGAGGGGATTTTTGGCAATTTTAGGACACTTTTAAGGGCAGGTTTAGGGGATTTAGGGGCAGTTCAGGGGATTTAGGGGCAGTTTTGGGGCAGTTTTAGGGGATTTAGGGGATTTCAGGGAGCTGGAGCTCGAGTGCGACTACGAGAGGGAGGCGCAGAGCGCCCGCAAATTCCAGTGGGTTCTGGCAAATTTGGGCAAATTTGGGTATTTCGGGGGTTCGGTGCAGTTTTGGGGCAGTTTTGGGGTTTTTGGCCATTCCAGGTCCCTGCTGGGTTTGGACCCCTTTTTCTGGAAGGGATTTTTGGGGCGATTTTTGCCCCTTTGGGGCCATTTCTGGGTGGGATTTTTGGGGCGATTTTGGCCATTTGGGGCCATTTCTGGGAAGGATTTTTGGGGCCATTTTTGCCCTTTTGGGGCTATTTCTGGGTGGATTTTTTGGGGGGTTTTGATTGGGATTTTTGGGGCGATTTTTGCCCTTTCGGGGCCATTTCTGAGTGGTATTTTTGGGGGGTTTTGGTTGGGATTTTTGGGGCGATTTTTGCCCTTTTGGGGCCATTTTCTGGGAGGGATTTTTGGGGCGATTTTGCCCTTTTGGGGCCATTTCTGGGTGGATTTTAGGGGGGTTTTGGTTGGGAATTTTGGAGCCGTTTTTCCCCTTTTGGGTCCCTTCTGGGTTGGGTTTTTGGGGCGATTTTTGCCTTTTGGGGCCATTTCTGGGAGGGATTTTTGAGGGGTTTTGGTTGGGATTTTTGGGGCGTTTTTCGCCCTTTTGAGGCCGTTTCTGGGTGGATTTTCCCGGGTGGTTTTCAGTGATTTTGGGGTTTTTGGGGTGTTTTTGGCCGTTCCAGGTCCCTGCTGGGCTCTGATCACTTTTTCTGGGAGGGATTTTTGGGGCCATTTTTGCCTTTTGGGGCCATTTCTGGGAGGGATTTTTGGGGGGTTTTGGTTGGGATTTTTGGGGCAACTTTTGCCCTTTTGGGGCCATTTCTGGGTGGATTTTTGGGGCGATTTTTTCCCTTTTGGGGCCATTTCTGGGTGGATTTTTGGGGGGCGATTTTGCCCTTTTGAGGCCATTTCTGGGTGGGATTTTTGGGGGGCGATTTTGCCCTTTTGAGGCCATTTCTGGGTGGGATTTTTGGGGCAATTTTTGCCCTTTTGGGGCCATTTCTGGGAGGCCCCAGATTTTTTTTGGTATTTTACCCTTTTTTGGGTATCTTGCCTTTTTTTGGGTATTTTGCTCTTTTGGGGCCATTTCTGGATGGATTTTTGGGGGGTTGCGGTTGGGATTTTTGGGGTGGTTTTTTGCCCTTTTGGGGCCATTTCTGGCTGGATTATTTGGGTTTTGTTTGTGATTTTCACTTGGAATTTTTGGGATTTTTCGGGATTTGGGATTTTTGGGGATTTCCCAGTTCCCTCCTGAGTTCCGACCCCTTTTTCTGTGCCCATTTGGGGGGGATTTTCACGGATTTTGGGGCGGATTTTTTGGGGGGGGTTTGGCCGAATTTTATGGAATTTTTTTTTGCGATTTCCACGTGTATTTTGGGTTTTTTTTTTTCGGATGTTTTTGGCCGTTCCAGGTCCCTGCTGGGCTCCGATCGCTTTTTCCGCGTTCCCGCCGTGGTTCCCGCGCTCAGCGCGCGCCGCGTGCTCTGCACCGAGTGGGGGAGGGGCGAGCCCCTGGAGCGCTGCCGGAGCCTCCCCCAGGAGCGGCGGGACCGGGTTGTGGGGGGGGCAGCAGAATTTGGGGGGATTTTGGGGAATTTGGGGGATTTGGGGGGGGGGATTGGGGCGTGATTTTGGGATTTTTGAGGGATTTTTGGGGTGTTTGGGGCGGATTTTTGGGTTTTTTTGGGGGGAGATTTGGGGAGGTTGGGGGGTTTTTGGGGATTTTTAGGGGAGTTTGGGGCAGATTTTGGGATTTTGGGTTTTTTTTGGGGGGGGGTTTGAGGATGATTTTAGGGGAGATTTGGGGGGGATTTGGGGGAATTTTTGGGGAGGTTTGGGGGTGATTTTAGGGGGGATTTTGGGGGTATTTTGGGGTCTTTGGGTGGTGCCAGAGCCTCCCCCAGAAGCTCTGGGGCACCCGGATTTGGGGGAATTTTGGGGATTTTGGGGCGGATTTTGGGATTTTTGAGGGGGGGGTGGGGGAGATTTTAGGGGGCATTTGGGGGAATTTGGGGGACTTGGGGACTTTGGGGATTTTTAGGGGGGTTTAGGGCCGATTTTTGGGACTTTGGGGGATTTTTGAGGGGGGTTTTGGGGGGGATTATAGGGGGGATTGGGGGGGGGTTGGGGAAGATTTTAGGAGGATTTGGGGCTTTGGGGAGGATTTGGGATTTTTTTGGAAGGATTTTGGGGGGATTTGGGGTGGGACCCAAAAATTGGGGTATTTGAGGGCGTTTGGGGATTTTGGGGGGGGGGATTTTTGGGGAGGATTTTTGGGGATTTGGGTGGGGGAAATTTGGGGATTTTTCGGGGGGGGGTTTTAGGGAGATTTGGGGACTTTGAGGTGGATTTGGGATTTTTTGGCTTTGAACTGCCCCTGCCCCAGGAATTTAACCCTTCAGTGCCCAATTTAACCCTTCCCCCTCCCAATTTAACCGTTTCCCCACCCATTTTAAAGCCTTTCTGGTCCTAATTTATACTCTTTCCATGCCCATTTTAAACCCTTCCCCCTCCAATTTAACCCTTTCAGTGCCTTATTTAACCCTTTCCTGCCCATTTTAACCTCTTCCATCCCAATTTAACCTTTCCCCCATTTTAACCCTTTCTCTCCCATTTTAACCCTTTCCACCCCTTTTTAACCCTTTCCTGCACAATTTAACCATTTCCCTCCCCAATAAAACCCTTTATGCCCCAATTTAACCCTTTCAGTGCCCAATTGAACCCTTCTCCTCCCAATTTAACCCTTTCCCTGCCCATTTTAACCCTTTCCCCCGCCCAGATCTGCACAGAGCTGCTCCGCCTGTGCTCCAGGAGCTTTTCCAGTTCCGTTTCATGCAAACCGATCCCAACTGGGCCAATTTCCTTTACGACAGCGACAGCCACCAAGTGAGGGGGAAAATCCCCAATTTTGGGGCTTTTGAGGGAGTCCGGTGGGGTTCGAGGGGAGTTTGGGGGAATTCAAATGGATTTTGGGGGGGTTAGGGGAATTTGAAGGGATTTTGGGGGGTTTGAGGGGATTTAAGGGTAAATTTTTGGGGTTTTAGTGGGGATTTTGTTGGGGGGTTTTTTGGTGGGGAAGGGGGATTTTTGGGGATTTTTTTGAGATTTTTTTTGGGGAGTTTTTTCAGTTTTTTGGGGGGATTTTTTGAGACTTTTTGGTGATTTTTTTCAGGTTTTTGGGGGATTTTTTTGAGATTTTTTTGTGATTTTTTTTCAGGGTTTCTGGAGTTTTTTTGAGGATTTTTTGGGGATTTTGTTGGATTTTTTTGGTGGGGAGGGGGGGATTTTTTGAGAATTTTGTGGGGGTTTTTTTCAGATTTTCTGGGGAGATTTTTTGAGAATTTTTGTGGGGGTTTTTTGGGGATTTTTTGAGAATATTTTGTGATTTTTTTCAGGATTTGTTTTGGATTTTTGGAGGATTTTTTGAGATTTTTTTCAAGGTTTTTTGAGATTTTTTTTTGTGATTTTTTCAGGGTTTTTTGGGGGATTTTTTTTTTTTTTTTTTGAGAATTTTTTGTGATTTTTTCAGGTTTTTTTAGGGGATTTTTTGAGAATTTTTGGGGATTTTTTCAGGTTTTTTTGGGGATTTTTTTGAGGATTTTTTGGGGATTTTTTTCAGGTTTTTTTGGGGACTTTTTGGAGATTTATTTTTAGATTTTTTTTTTGGAGTATTTTTGACGATTTTTTCAGGATTCTTTGGGATTACTTTCAGGATTTTTGGAGGGTTTTTTTCAGGACTTTTTGAGAATTTTTTGTGATTTTTTTTTCAGGGTTTTTTTGGGAACTTTTTGGGGATGATTTTTTTTAGATTTTTTAAATATTTTTGACAGTTTTTCAGGATTTTTTGGGATTATTTTCAGTATTTTTGAGGGTTTTTTCGGGATTTTTTGAGGATTTTTTCAGGATTTTTGGGGAGTTTTTTCAGGATTTTTTCAGGATTTTTTCAGGATTTTTTGGGGAATTTTTTTTTAAGTTTTTCTGGATTTTTTGGGGGAGTTTTTCAAGATTTTTTGAGGATTTTTTCAGCATTTTTCTGAGGATTTGGGGGGGATTTTTTGAGGTTTTTGTGATATTTTCAGGATTTTTTTTGTTTTTTGGGTTTTTTTTTTTTATTTTTTAGGATTTTTTTTTTAATGATTTTTTTTTAGGATTTGGGGCAAATTTTTGGGGGATTTTTTTGGGAGATCCCAACTCCTTGCCCTCCCCTCCACCTCTGGGATATTTTTGGGGATTTCGTTGGATTTTTGGGGATTTTTTGGCCCCCCCAGGTGACGCTGTTGGATTTCGGGGCCTGCCGGAGCTTCGAGAAGGAATTCACGGATCTCTACATAGAGGTGGGGAAAAATGGGGCAAAAATGGGGGAAAATTGGGCAAAACCGGGAAAAATGGGGAAAATGAGAAATGTGAGGGAAAGA